TTGATTTTTTCGCTGCTGTTAGTCTTTTTGCACTGCACCTCTTCTACATTAGTGGATGACTTTCTTTTATTTGGAGTCGATGTCGATGCAACTTGAGGGCTCGGAGGTATCTCCAGTTTAACTGCTTGACGCACAACTGGCGAAGCTATGTCCGGTATAGTCATTTCAAAAGTGAGATTGGCTAAGTCCAAAGCAGGTTGAGGTGCATCACTTGTATTCGTTTTAGATTTTTTCGATGTAACTGCTGATTCAGGTTGTTTCGGGGGTTGCTCATTTTTCTTTACACATAAAATGCCATTAAAGTAATCTTCGTGAAAGAAATCTGTTTTAAGAAAACGATCTAGGAACCGACAGTTATTATATACAGCTAACAGATCTTTGAGAACATCGGCCTTGCGCTGCTCTGGTAGAACGTGAAAGATTTTTTCAAGACGCTGAATTGCTTCCTTGGCACGATCGATTCCCGATATAATGTGATCCTCTACATCCATTGATTCGACGCTAGCGCTCATATTCATTGTTTGACTATTCTCAGACTGTGTCTCCCAGGAATTCTCCGAGTCATCAGACTCGTAGGCATCCTGAGTATCGCTTTGATGGATTTCAAAGAGATCCTGTGGATAGCACATCGTAATATGTCCCTTGGCCCACCACACCCGTACACGACCATCAGGAAAGTTATCAATAACTTGTCCAGCTGTTGAATTCAGATCCTCTCCTGTGAAATTCGATACTCTTATGACCATGGTGCCAGGTCGGTACTGGTAGTCCGCATGATCTTTCAAATCGTACACACTAAGCTCCTCCACATCTTTGCATGATGGCCTGCGAATAGATATTCAATGATTACTGAACACTCAAATAAAGTCAAATACTTACACTGGATTATCCATATTGCCATAGATATTGAACCACTTAACTTTAGCAATGCGTTCATCGTGATCCACGGACTGTATGACTCCGTAGTCCATCTGCGACGTATTGTAGTCATTAGCTTTACTGACGAAATCTCCAGGGAAGAACTCATGATTATCTAAATGATGTATAGGATACAGTTCGGTTGAAGGAATGCCTGATTCCACAGATCCGTCCTGCCACACTACCGTTAGCGAGCTATACACAACCAAAGTTTCGACTACCATGTCATCGCCATCTTTGGGATCGCTTTCCTTTCTTGGTATTGCAGATTTTTTACTGGGTCGCGGCTTTTTCTTGTTCGACCTACGCTTAAAATTTCGAGTAACAATTCGGGCTGCCTGAGAAGCAAAGGAATTCAATGGACTCGTCGTTACACCTTCTGCTTCTGGAGTTGCAGCGGCAGCCTCAATTGTTTCTGTGGCCTCCTGAGCTTCCTGTACAGGCTCATCATCAACCTCTTCTTCCCCAGTTTCCCAAGTTTCATCGTTGTTTGCACGCGTCTTCTTTCCACTTGAGTTCGTTGAGGTAGACAGCTTTAGAGAGACATTGCTCGTATCGTTGTCAGCCGAGCGATTTAGTCGTTGATTGCTTGGTTTATTGTTGAGCCGTCGTACCTTGAAAATGTGACCACTGCGAGAGCTGGATGCTGCTGATGGCGAAGGCACATTGTCTATGCCTGTAGATGAGCCTTGCTTTGACTGCTCCTTTTGGCCAGATTGCTTACTTTCTTCACTCTTTTGGCGTTGGTATATAGTCTGGTATAACTTGGCTGGAAAATAAATCAATTGTAATAAGAAAAACTTATTGAATAGCCCTCATCATGCATACCTTGCTCCTGTTCCCAGACGGAATATTTTATAAGTTTATCACATTTCGAATATTTGAGGTAGAAACGATCGTGAATTTGCAGCATATAAGATTCATAGATGTTCAAGCGCTTAACCTTTGCCAAATCGTCGCCCTTTATACAGCTCTTTGGCTGCTTTAAAGGATCCAATTCAGTACCACTATCGAATTGAGGTGTGGCTTTAAATGTCCAAGCCACAGTTATAGCAGTAGTTTTAACAGATTCCACAGTGTACTAAAATGCCAAGATGAAATATGTGAATAGCTAATAAAGACCGTTTCAATATTCTTCAGTGATATTTAACTACTACTAACCATAGAGCGTCGTTTACGATTAGTTGGCAAGGGAAGGTCCGGTGTTAAATTAACAATGCGGTCCAAGGGTGGCAAACGACCAACTACCACATTATTTGGATAATAAACACTTGGACTGAACACTTCGCGCTCACTCGGTCCATAAGCATCCTTAAACTTGTGAAAATCGTTCGATGTAATTTCAATAAGAGCGCCATAACTCGATCTACAAAGAAAAGTAAATGAGTATTGAATGGAGGTCATGCCCTATGGTCTGAGACTAATTATTACTCACTTTAATACAGCAGACTCATCTACGGTGACAGTATAGCCAATCCAGTTTCCTAAACATACGGGCACATCACGAGACCACTCTGAGATGGGTTTTAGGCGCTCCGAGGGTACATTCCTGATGACATATTTGGTGCCTAATACCTTCACATCTGCGCGGACGTTAACATCGCGCACATAGCCGGCCTGGCCAGACATATGCTTCTGTCCAGGAAGGCGGCGACGTACCACATCGCCTGGCATTAGTGTGCGGTCGACGAGACCAATCTAAAATCACATACATATTTTGAGTTTAATTTGGAAGAACAACGTACAATAATAGAAAGCAAACAACACGTGTCAATGCTGAAGTGCCCAAAAGACAAAACAGTTGTCTAAACACAAGAAACTGTTTTTCACAGTTATGTACACACGCCTACAAACGTACAAGGCGTACATATCTACATACGTGTATTGAGCTGTGCCAATTACATAACCTCAATAAACTTACCGATTTTTCAGTTCTCACAATTTCCTTGCCATCCGGATAAAAGGCGACACGTACCTCGCCCTTCCCGAGCACCTCATTAATTTCATCTTCCTCATCGTCCGAAGAATACGACTCGGCAGTCCCAGTGACAACGCCAAATCGCACGCGACCTTGGCGATCGATGCGAAATACCTCATCCTCGAAAAAGAATTGAAACTCGCGATTGTCTGAGCTCTTGGACGCTGAGGTGCCGCCGCCCGATTTCCGATTGCTACCGCTTGTCCCAGGTGTCCGAGATTCAGATGATGGTGAGATTAACGTCTCAGTCTCGGCATCTGCTGCAGCCTTTGTTAATGTGGCTGCAGCATCCATTGGGGTGCCGCCTGCACTGGCAGCACCCGCGACTTGACTCATCATATTACCAATTGTGAACTGCGTGCATCAGAATAAAATATATTGTAAATTGATGGTCAAAGTATTTGTATGTGTGTATGCCTCCTCTGTTCATCATGCACACTCAGCTCTTAGCTCCTAGGCGTTCTATTTCAGCTGCATCAATTGTAATGTGTGGCAGCTAGAATTCCTATATGTAATTTTGTACATACCATGAGCCGCCTGACGGCGAGTTGGATTTCCTAGCAATAATGATTAGAAAGGCTGGTTCACTTACTCTAAACAATTAAATTTATTTACAACCGAGTGTCGGGCGAGGTGTTTAGCATAATTCACATTTACATCCAATACTGTTTCGAAAATACATTTGAAGTCAACAAGGGTGCGACTTTGAAATTTTATTATAATTTTGCCAACTTATTTAAAAAAAAACTAAAAATACAACAGCTGAAAACTAGTTAAGTTGGCCGCAATATTAGCTCTTTAACAGAAATTCATTTAACATTTGGCAAATATGTTATTAACAGTGGGCGCGTATTTAAAAAATACCTCCGTTACTCTTATATGTAGAATGTTGCTTCACTTAAGTGGTTATTTGTCTTTAAACGAAATGATTATTTGCAAGATGGATTACTTGAAGATGGAGTTATTCGATATAAAATGAGACTCGTACAGAGCTTAACAAAACCGTCTTGATTCAATATATAATTTTTATTTTAAAGTAATTCTGTGTCTGTGTGTGTGTGTATACACAAAATATATGATATGCACATTTTTAAATATAACTTTTTTTTTTAGTGAATTGTAATACAACAAATGGAATAACGGTTTTGTAGGAGTAGTTAATATATCGGTACCACAATATTTTGCTAAGCTTTGTCGATACTATTTTCTTGCGAGCCAATTATGAGCCCGGCAAAATTTTAAACGTTTTCTATAAAAAAACAAAACAAAAAAAACAAAATATTGAACAAAACCGTCAATAGAATTTCTCATTTTTTTTTTAGTACGCACCCATTTTGGGATCACTGAATTCAGCGCGATTAAAATGATTAACACTAACAGAGCAGCCATTATTATTAAATATATTACTGTAGCTATTGTACATAGTTTCATAATAAATTTGCCTATAAAACTGTAAGTGGTAATCTTTACAAATGCAATACCGAATTATACTTACTCCTTTCTTATAAAACGAGAGCACTTTGTGCAAGAAATTAGTTGTTATTTTGATTTCCGCGTATTCACAAATTACACAGTGTTTTGTTGCATTCACAAAAATTTTTTCACAAAAGTGTGTACATTGATATATATTACAAAATTCGAAAGGTCAAAACATAACGAATAACTGATCTATAAACGAAGGCCTCCTTTGTTTTTAAAAATGTCTCCAGTGTCCAAACTTTTTTTTTTTATAGTTTTATTTGCTATTTTTCTTATCCTAGACAATAACCAAATAATTCAACATTAACTATAAGTAGACGAGTGGTTCGAGAGCCATTGAACTCAATCCCTATATTTACATAGTCTATCATATGTATCTATTTGGAAGGTCCAAAATCACATGAAGTGATTAGGCTTTCAGTCACAACATACATTACAGAATTATGGTGTCATGTGATTCAAGATTTTAATTGCATAGAATAAGATGCTCGACGCTCATAAAAAGACCGAGTGCCAATAAAATATAATGCTTTTATACTAAGATGCGCAACATTTTTTCAATGCGTTTCAGCTCAGAGCCGAAAAGGGGCTATCTACATACGTAACAAATACGATACAATGCCAGTATAAATAATAAGTTAACTTTATTTCTTAATACACAGTTATCTAATATTGCAATTACATATTATCACATCTGACTATCATAGGTGGCGCAAACGGCGAGTGGTGTACGCCAAATGAATAAGCGCGGCCCGATCTTCCTGGACGATAATACATCAAATCATAATATTGTGGACCAGGGCCAACATTCTCTTTACGGACATTACAAGTCGGCCTCATTGAATACTGAGGCGCTCGATTTAACTTGAGGTTCAAGTCATCTGCGGCATACGCCGCAGGTCCTGGGGAATCTGCCTTACGATTTATCTTGGCTTGGATACCCCTGTTAAAAGAAAGGGACTCGGTATATGCATATAAGTACAATGGTCCACAATACATACATGCTATACGCTGGTGCTGCTGGCTTTATGGGACTAACTTCGAATTTGTAGGCACTGGGTCCGGGTCCATACTTTTTAAAACTAAATTCATTACGCTTCGCCATCGAATATGCCGGTGCAGTAACCCCCTTGAAAAACGGCTTTGTATGGACATTATGTGCTCCGGGGCCGGGGCTGACTCTCTTGTCTGTAATCGAGCCGGATTTACGTTAGCTTCAGCCATTGTATTCGAGTCGGATGCAACCTACCTATTATTTTAGTCATGGGGCCCATAGTGTACTCGGCGCCCCTGCCCGGGCCATAGCGCGTGAGCTTGTCTACCTGATAGGCCCCTGGTCCAGGTCCTGGATCGGCGCCCAACATATTTGTGCGGGCGCCAAAAGAATATTGCGGCATTCGCAGTTTTCGGTTATCATGCTTCTCGTACCCCAAAGTGGGTGGTAACCCATAAGCTCCTGGACCAGGTCCTGCAATAAAATACAACAAAAAATACAAATTATGAAAAAATGGTAATATAGCAACCATCAAGCAACTTCACACTTACCTAACGGCACACGCGCCATGTTGTCTCTGCAATATTAAATAAAACCTAAAATTTGGAAACTCAATTGAGTTGCTGCCCGGTCGGACCCTAAAATCTATATGAACAGTATTCAGGCAGTCCCATAGCATGAGCTCGGAACCAACGAATTTGAAATCATGGCCAACTTATTTTCTAGTAAACAAAAATTACTGAAATTATACATAAATAAATATTCAGAAATCAATATAATTTTTAGCAATGCTCATAATGTTAAAAATGTTGAAAATGTTAGACTGCATGATACTAATTGAACTAGCCTAAACATCTTAATTTACTAAAGTATCAGATTTGCCATAATCTAATGCGAAGCACATGAATGATTCTTATATAATTGTCAATTTTTAGATCTGCAGATCAATAGTAAACAATAGTATCGGCTCATAAGGCTAGAGCAGATAGTCGATTGGCACATAAAATTGTCATTTTTGCTATAATTAACATTATGTTTACCGCTCCAAAATTAAGTGCATTTACATGGATTACAAAAAATGATTCGCCATTTTCCTCAATATATTATATATTTATGCAGAGACTACTTCTGCCCGTCTAAATATAAGCGCTAACTGGGAGGTTTTGCATTCATGTTTATTTCTAAATTTTTTTAGTAATTCCCTAGAAATTAAAACATTTCACCATCTTGCTATGGCTGATGATTTGCATACTATATTTTCATATGACTATACAAAATTTTTGCCATGCCACGAGAAGAGGCTACTTCTGCATCTGTTTAAATGCGAAATGATTTGCATTCATACATTTAATTTTTTTTAATTAAACCGTTCAAGTATCTTGTCTTATAAACACCAGTTTGGCAATGAATAAAATCAATTTTTTAGACATATACGGACACTTAATAAAATTTATTACTATTGTAATTCCACATTAAAATAGTTTTTTTCCAATATTGCAAACATTTACATATTATCACATCTGACGATCATGGGCGGCGCAAACGGTGAATGGCGCACACCGAACGAATAGGCACCCCTATTCTTTCCAGGACGATAGTACATCAAGTCATAATAGTTGGGGCCGGGACCTACAGAAGTACTTGCTATATCGCACCTGGGTCTCATCGAATATTCGGGTGCACGATTCAGTCTCAGATTCAAATCACCCGCACCATAAGCAGCTGGACCAGGTGAATTGTTCTTACCCAAAACCTTGGTTTGTATGCCCCTGTTTGAATGACAAATTACGTAATCTGCTGGGAGAAATGCTATTCTACGTAATCCACTTACATGCTGTACTTAGGCGCTGCCTGCTTTACGTTGTTGATGTCATACATATAGGCACTGGGACCGGGTCCACACTTCTTGAAATTAAAGTTGTGACGCGCGGCCATCGAATATGCAGGAGCCTCCGTGCCTTTGAACATGGGCTTTAGATGGACATCGTGCGCGCCTGGGCCGGGGCCGAAACCCTTGTCTGCAATTGAATGGAGCGTCTAAAATTGCTCAATGTACGTATGAGAGCATTGAGGTCTTACCCTTGAATTTAGTCAAAGGGGCCATCGTGTATTCCAAGCCGCCACCCTTGCCATAGCGCGTTAGTTTGTCTACCTGATAGGCTCCTGGACCTGGACCCGCATCCTTGCCCGATACGTTTGTACGGATTCCGAAGGAATACTGGGGCATGCGTTGCTTACGGTTATCATGTTTCTCGTACCCAATAGTTGTGGGCAATCCGTAAGCGCCGGGACCAGGGCCTGCCGAAGAGAAACCGTTAGGATTACCAATGTCCACTACTCAAGCAATTTAAAAATATTTCTCACCTAAAGGCACACGCGCCATTTTTACGTTACTTTACTGCAATATTGGAAAAACAATTTCCAAATAATTTTGAACTCTTTTGAGTTGAGTTCCGAATGAATACCAAAAGTGTAATGAGAATAAAACACAGCCCCCATTCTCATCTAGGGCGGATCGACGTGAATTTTAAGTCAAGGCCAAGTAAGTGGGAAGAAAATCAAATGGAAATACATTTATATATGTAGTTATTTATGCTAAGTTAATGCTTGATTTGATGGCGATGAGTGATAAGTGTATGAAATGTATTGCTTTGGCTTCAATTGATTGCAGTGCTTATTCCAGGTCCATGGAGTTGTACAGCTGCTTATAGTGGGAGCCACGCCCACTGCTCTGCATAAGCAGCTCATTCTGCTGCTCTCTGACTCGCTGTGCATGCAAATGAAAACCAGATAAGAGTGAATGTCAGTTCCTTAGTGGGAGTGATCAATGACCCTCGTACCTTTGGATCATATTTCTGATATATGTAAACTAGTATTGGTCCGTACAGTATATTGAATAGGCCCACAATACGCATCAGCCAGGCAAAGCCAAAGCTCTGTGCCAACTCTCCGCCAATCAAAGGAGCTGACGAGCATGACAAAATTTGTTTACAAACATATAAAACTCTTCCAAGGGAGAGAGAAAGCAAAGTCTTACCCAGACAATACGCCAAGCTTACGGAGGTCTGTTGTATGGCATAGACGGTGCCGTAGCTGGATCTAGTGCCTCTAGCCTCGCCGCTGTCATCATGCGCCAGTGTGGCATCCACAAAGGTAGCCAGGAGTGGAACCAAGGCCGCATCAATCACCCCAATGCCCAAGCCCAGAGCAAAATGGGGCAGCAAGAGCTGCGCCACAGTTGTGGCGCTGGGTATCTGCAAACACACAGATAACATACAATGGAATATAGCCTATAAACCGCTCACCAGAATTGACGCAAGGCCCACCAGCAGCAGGCTAAGACAGGAGACTTTCAGCTGGCCATAACGAAAGGCGACGCTACCGAAAAAGTTTGTGCCCACAAAGTAGCCCACGGAATCCGGTATGAAAACGGTGCCCAATTGCCACTTGTTCGGATGGAGATACTGAATCAGCCAGATGGGCAAACAGGGCTCCAATATGGCCATTGTGGATGTGGACAACCAAATGGCGATGACAATGGCCAAAATCATTTTGCATTCGAGCAACGCGCGCCATTTGGTGCTCTGTTCGAAGGCCAAGACCTCCGGCTGCACGGACAGGTCCATGGTGAGCAGCTGCATACCCAGGCTCAGAAATATAACGGTCGATAGTATTATAAAGGGCGCCGATTTGCCAACCATATCATAGAGAATACTCCCAAACGGATACCCTATCAATACACCCAGTGCAATGCTGCCAAGAACGATGCCCATGACCTTGGAGCGGCGCGCCTCCTCCGGGTAATGCTGTGCCACCAGACTCATGCCGCACACCCCAATGCAGGCGGAGCCCACACCCTGAATGGCGCGTGCCAGCAACAACATCCAATAAGATTCGCCCACGGCAAACACTGAAAGGTAAACATAACATGTCATTAAAATGGCTGAAGCTACAAGCTCTAGCTGGTTTCGTTCCGCAAATTTACCGAGGGAGGAGATCAAAAGGAAGCAAGTGCCCACCACAATGGGCAGGCGATAGCCACACTTGCTGGACAGATTACCGACAATGGGATTGAAAACCAATTGGACCAGTGCTTTCATGGCCAACAGCAGCCCAATAGAGCCGTTCTCTCGCGACAGGCCCACACTGTTGTTATTGCTATTGAAATTGCTGCTGGCCATGTTGTGGCTATCGACCTTTGTGGCTGCGGTCGCATTAGTGCCGCCCAAATGGTCGCTGGGCAGCAGCGTTGTCGCCGTCGTGGACGTCAGCAGATGCAGCGTTGTGAAATTAACCATCGATTTGCCAGGTATTGGATGCTTGGTCATGTAGAACTGTGTCGGCTCCTCGTTGCGTTGTGCCATCTGATGGGCCTGGGCAGGGGCCGACGATGGCATGGCCCCCTCTTCAATGCGGTAGCCCTCAAACGTTGGCGGCTCCAGGCTGGCCAGATAGTCGGGCAAAATGGGCACTGCAATCGATGAAAGTGAGTTGTCTTTGTTGTTGTTCTTTTTATCAGCTCTTATCATATGTTATCTATAATTGGCATTACCTATCACGGTCAGCAGCACATTGTCCAGCAGCAGAGCTATATACACAATTGCGGCAATGAGGCAGCGACTCTCAATGGCATTGGAGGGCTGGCTGGAGCTGCGTCTGGCCGAGATGTTTAACTTGGCCGCAGCCTCGCCACTTGTTGACTTCTCCGACATGACTGACGCGCGCCAATTATCGAAATCAATATGCAGCACACACACACACACACACAAATGCACAGAAAACACAGTTACACTGCCATATGGCCCAATAACCGAGGCGCCACAAAATATGCTACACAATTATAAGGCGGGCGCACTCACACACACGCACTCACTCACTCACACACCCTCACTCGGCGTAGTTACTTGTGTGAAGGACAAAGATTTTAGCGCCCTTTGACCAACAGGTGGTGTTGCTGCCTCAACGTATTTGTGGCTATTGAAAGGTTGCAACAAGCAGCCGACCGATTTTACTGAAAGCAACAGCAGACCCGAACGACCCGAGCGGCCAAACGAGTCCCCATTAACGAGCGCACAGCCTGCAAAGTAAATCATCTGAACTCAACATGTGCTGCACGACAGACAGGCATAGAGTATATTCGGCACACCAATTGCGTCATGAGAATTGAATATTTATTTATTTATTAGCAGTGAATTTAAAAATTATTGATATTATTATATATATAGGTAGAAAAACTCTGCGAAAAATTATCATACTTACAATTACATGCATTACATAAGGATATATTAATTCTTGACAGTTTCTAGAATCAATAGACGCAATAGTCTGGTATTAAACATTTCAAGGTTGGCTCAGCAATGTAGGTCAACCGTAGAGTAATGCCAATAAAGTTTATAGATAAGTTTAAAGACTTAATTCTAACAGGCTTAATTCTAGCTAGCTTATAAGATATTTAGTTATTTATTTATATTGTCTACTAAGTCCTCTGCTATATATATAAAATATTGTAATTCATCAATTGTATTATTGTTAAGAGTTGTTATTAAATTTTACAATTCATGGAAAAAATTATAATTGTATTATACTGGTTCAACAAATCTTTAGTTTAATTTATAAATAATAACTTGAAAAAATAAAATAATTTTTTAAAAATGTTATTGATATCTCTCTCCAGCTAAGAGAGGGTAACTTTTAGTCATGCACTCTCCGATTAACGCTCCTGTTGCTGCTGTTGCTGCTGTTGCTGTTGCTATTGTTGTTGTATGTCATATTGGTGCTTTAACAGAGAGTGTTTCCATGGTTGTTTCTTCACATCCATCGCCTCGACGCCAAACCCACAAAAACCGCATCAAGTTCCCACGACTCGAAGGCCTGCGACCATGCCTTGTCCCTGATAAGCGCGCTATAGATTTTTCAGACTTACGAATGATTTTCCATTTCATTGAGCATTTCACAGTTTAAATTTAGTCCCACAAGTGATGCTGGCACAACAAGAATTTCTCACGAATTGACGCACAATTGTTAGCTCGATAAAAGACCGCATTTAGGAAATGGAGATTCCAAAACAGGAGATTGCGAAAAAGCTCGAGGTTGACATTTCGAAATTGCTGCTTCTTTTTTTTTTGTGTGTTTTGTTTGTTTAAATGTGACCCAGTTTTATGAGTCTGGTTTTGGTTCTAGCTCGATGACTTAGCAAATTTAGGCAACTGAATAACGCGAGGTCTTGCTCAAATGCCAAGCAAATTCTTGTGTCACCCATTATCTATAGCAATGTCTTATCATAAAATTAAATAAATTTTAGTTTTAAGAGCTTATTTTTTTTTGTATTTATTGCATATGGCACACCTGGTTTTTGACTCTAAATCAAAACTAAACGGTTTATTTAATCTAAACTTATTATAGTTAAATGGTCATATCTCTGATAAGATAGGCAATTCGCTCTAAGTAAAGCCAACCAAGTTTACTGCAGTCGAACAATCAACTAGATCGATAATCAGCTAAGCGATTTGTAATTATATAATATATACATATAATATGAAATGGCAATATTAATCTACTAAAAAAAAGAATTCTGCGAGTATTACCGATTAGTCGAAGTTAAGATTAGCTGCCAACGAAAAACACCTTGGGTCCGCAATGCTTGGAACAATCGAGTTAGTTAACGAGCCCCTCCTCGAACGATCGGTCATTCAATGCTGAAGTGCAAAAACTTGTTGCTCCTTGGCCCTTTGCTGCAGCTGTTGCTGGTGCTGCTGATAGCTGTAATCGGTAAGTGTTAGCCACATTCATTCAGCTATCAATAGGAACACCTGTTGTATGAAGTGCTTAAACAGGTGGCCAGACCGAAACGGTTCCCTGTAAACTAAAAGATGCGGAATATGGCAAAGTGTGCGTGTGCACGTCGGACTACTGTGACTATTTGGACAATCCGACACTGAGCAAGGATGAGGAATTTGCGCTGATTTCCAGCAGTAAAAAGGGACTTCGATTTGAAATGAGCAAGGGAAACTTTGGTGAGAAGGACAGGTACATCATAAAGGACTATGAAGAGCCTGCGACCGAAACCGCTGCCAGCAATGACACGATCTTATCTCGGCTAATGGATCAAACTCTAGGCAAAATATTCAGCCAAGCCGACTCATCGACAAAACCCATAACAAGGTCTGTAAAGCTCAAGCTGGATCGCAGTAAGCTGTACCAAAGAATTGAAGGATTTGGTGGCAGTTTCACGGGAGCCGTATCCTATTTGGTGGATAACTTCAAAGCACAAGATATTCAAGATCATCTCTACAAGTCCTACTATGCCCCAAATGGATTGGGATTCAATTTGTTGCGCATATCGATCGGAGGTTGTGATTTCGATTTGGCACCCTGGGCCTATAACGAGAAGCCCGAAAACGAAACAGTTCTGACTGGCATGGATGAGCTGGACGCTCGGGATGTTCTACGCTTGGCGCAGATTGAACGACTGAAGGAAGTTTCAGGGGTGAAACATCTACGCATCAAGGCAGCTGCCTGGAGCGCACCGCCTTGGATGAAGACCAACAACAAGTGGACGGGCTTTGGTCGTCTAAAGCGACAATACTACCAGACCTGGGCCGACTATCACCTCAAGTGGATCGATTTGATGGCGAAAAATGATCTGCCGATTTGGGCTATTTCCACTGGAAATGAGCCAATGAACGGAATACTCTTCATGGTCTTTGTCAAGTTCATGAGCATGGGCTGGACACCACAGACACAGGCCATATGGGTGGCCGATAACTTGGGACCCACGATTCGTAACTCAAAGTACAAGGATCTGTTCATCTTCAGCAATGATGATCAGCGTTACACCAGCCCGTTCTGGTTCAAGCAGGTAACACTTTTACTTTTTCCACCTGAGTTCCAAAGTCCAATAACTGTGTCCCCGTGCAGATGAACCGTACTCGCCCTAACTCCCTCCAATACATTGACGGAGTAGCACTTCACTGGTATTGGGACGAAATATTCGGCAACAGCTTTGTTCATAGCACCAACGAGTACATGGCCAACAAAATCCAGATCATTTCCGAGTCTTGTATTGGCGACAAGCCCTGGCAGAAAGCTGCACCACTTCTCGGCAGCTGGGAACGGGCAGAGAAATATGCACGCTCATTTTTGTCACATCTACAAGATGGCTTCCACGGCTGGATAGACTGGAATATCATATTGGACGAAGTCGGTGGTCCCAACTACGTCAACAACACAGTTGATGCTCCAGTGGTTGCCAACACGACATGTAAGCAATAAAATACTTAAACCGACCTCGCTCTAATCTTTATTATCGTGATATTATCGATAGCCTATACTGAGTTCTACAAGCAGCCCATTTTCTATATAATGGGACACTTCTCGAAGCTGGTGCCCGAGGGCTCTATGCACATCGAGTCGGTGGCCAGCAACGTCAATCTTGACTCTGTGGCATTCAAGAGACCCGACGACAAGATCGTCGCTGTGCTCTTTAATAGCGGACGTGCCGATCTGAACATCGATATCACGGATACGATTCGTGGTAACTTGTCGGTGAATGTGCCAGCCAGGTCCATACACACCATACTATATAACTGATTGAGCGATAAATGACGGGCTGAATTTGAAATTGTTGTAGTTGTATTTTGTATAGGGACTTTAAGTTCCGATAATAAAGATGTTGAAAATATATTCATTGCAATATTTTAACGGATTGAATTTTTAATATTTTTATTTATATATTCTACAAAGACATTTATAATTAACGACCTAAGACAAAGGCAAAGCTGTTAATGTTTGTTTAAATATTAAATGATGGACGAAACATAAAATTTACATAAATTCGTTGTAATTCCATGATTATATAACTTTTCCTAAGTATAAAGCATAAAGAACCAATTATATTTTTCCCAACCATGGGCAAATTCTTATAATTAATATAAATATGAGTATAAACAAAAATATCAAATGATTTTTTACAAAATAAATGTGTCCCTCGTCCAAGTCTCTTACATTTACGGGCTCTGTTTCTATAATAATCTGTGCTATACGAAATAAAAGTTTATGGAATAGTAAATATCTAATAAATATATATATTTTTAATTTATTTAAAAATATTTTTTTAAATTTATTTAAAAAACAGGGCATACTTAAAAGCAAAACATACAGGGAATGAATGAGAGAGAAAGAAAGTAAGAGCGCTGCGAAAGCAACTCTCACTTTAACGGAAGAGTACATTTCAATAGTGGTACGAGGCTTTGAAAGAGAGCTCAATTATTGGCTTTACCTTTGCATAACTTTTACTTTTGATTGCCAAAGCCGTGAGACGTTTTTCAAGTGGCGCCGTCCACTGAAAATCGCTGCCTCTGCCTTCGCCTTCGCCTCAGTCGCCGTCGCCGACTGCTGCTGCTTTATCAATTCAACAGCTGGCGCAGGTCAAGTAGCAGCCGCAAATATAAACAACAACTTGAGCGCTCACTTGAACCTATTTACACAAATGGAATTTGAGCAAAATTCGGTGGCGATTGATTAGGAGAAACGCGTTTGCCGCTGTCGCAAGCATTCCCATGCCAGCTCAGCTCTCTACGCTTCACTTTACTCTGCTCTCGAGTCAGTTGAGCGGACGCATCCGAAGCGCTCGTTTCGTTGCAGTTTCGCTGCTGTGTGAAGCTCAGCCATGAATCTGCGCTGGCTGTGGATGCTGTTCGCTGTTGCCCTTTGGCCAGGATGGGCAGGTGAGTGCGTTAGCTTACCTGTGATTGCACATTTATGTATATATTATTTCTGTTGCAGCTGCGCTATCGACGCCTTGTCAGCTAAAGGAGACGCAGTACGGCAGCGTATGCGTCTGTAATAGCAGCTACTGCGATTATCTGGAGCAGCCGGAACTACAAGATGATAATCAGATTGTGGTGATTAGCTCGAGCAAGGTGAGTATCTCTATTTCAATTGAATCGAATGG